AGCAATAAATCTGTAAGACAGATTTTTTAAAAGTTATTTATTTGTAAGTTATAAGCATTTTTTATATTTTATATATAATAAACACTTTAACTCTAATATAATTTTTGCTCTAACTCTAAAGTTAATGATAAAAAATTTTTTATTAGGAAATAATCAAACAAACCTATATATCAGTTAATTTAACTTATAGTTATTTCTAAATAAATTCTTAAAAAAATTGATTTTTTTTAAAGAAATTTTATATGTCAACAAAATGTTTTTAAAGATTTCTTAAGAACTACCAGGCTGATTTTAATATTCTTATTACCATTAGATACATTTTGATGAGCTCTACAACTTTTATTATGAGCCCAAGAGTAATTTATTTAGTAAAAAAAAGTTTTATATGTAATCTCTTCACATTTAGCTCAATAATAAAATTTACTTATAAAATTTGCAGATCCTCTCTAAATGACAGATGGATTGTCTATTAAGTTAACAATCAAGGTTGATTAATTGAAAGTTGTAGAGCTCACAAAGATGAATCTAAAGGTAGTTATATTATCCAAATCAGTCTAGTGGTACCTAAAATTAGTATCCTCATTAAAATTTAGAGTTATTCTTATTTATTTTATTTTTTTGTAAAAAATGGGGCTCGTTTCGATTTTTACGTTACATCTGATCCTGAAATTCGATTGGTCAGAATTACAGGGGTGAACAATTTTTTGTGGGAGAGCTAGGGGCGTCGTCTAAAGCGGCGAAGCAACAAAAGAAAAAAGTAAAAAACGTGAAAAACGGCAGTCATAACCAACTTTGACGCATTAATAGAAGGCAATTTTACTTTACAAACCCTAGAAGTGCTGACATGTTTACGTAATAAGTCGAAGCTAGGTTGTAACTTGTATAAAAAACCATTTTTTATATAGTTACGGCCTAGTTATGACTTTATTACGTAAATATGTCTGCGCCTCTAACCAACCCTAACCTAAAGTGGATCAAACCCCTAACGTTACTCTTCGATAAAATATTAATTTATGAGTTATCTCCGTTTTAGACATCCTTCTCTTTTGGAAATTTGTATGTTTATTTATGAAATCGGTAAATAATGCTTCCTAAGTATATGTATTTACACATTCTTTCTTATAGTCTTGGTTAATTGCATATAGAATAAATCGGATAATGTTAAATAGGTTATGCGTATAAAAATGATACTAAATAATGCTGTATAAAAAACAATTAGAATTTGAAAACTAGTATTGACTAAATTTTATACCAAATTTTATAGAAATTTATAAAACTTGCAAGTAAAGAATGTGATTTATAGCTTTTAGAGAATAGTACAACAACGAGAACGTGAATATTCTTGAGAAGGATAATGATAATTCGATTGTGAAGGATAACGATAACTCGATTGAGAAGGATAACGATAATTTGATTGAGAGGGATAATAATAAACCGGTTCTTCACAATAAAAATAAGTGGTATTTCCATCTGTCACCACTATAGCAGTTGATTCATTATTACCTTCACGGACCGAAATTCCAGCGTATCCTATGCCATCTGAATATCCTTCAACATAACCAACAGTACTAGTGTTGTTAGGATAATTTCTTCTATATTTCGATCTGGTCAAAGACATAATGAATGTTTTACCTTAACAAGTTGATATTAAAACTTTAAGGTATTTAAATTTGAAGAATAAAAATGTGTTTAAGGAGCGTGAAGGAGCTGTTGATGAATGAACCTTTTTTTTTTGTTGCTGTTTAAAAATAGGAAACCGGAGTTTTGTAATATACAATTTCCATTTAACTAGCCATACTATTTATTAAATTTTCTGTAATTTACACATATTTATTACGTATAACCATTTCAGATGCCTTTATTTGTTGATAGTCGATTGTTGGTACGTACATAGCACAAGGATTATGAGATCGGAACAACGTTTATATTAGCAATTGAGTCATGGGTTGTGAGTGGAGTTGTTAAAATAATATGGGTATTTGTGCATACACTTTCCTAAAATCTTTAACTCGCTTTAGCATTGTACGTAACATTACTGTATGTTATTGTTAGTGGCTAATGCTCACGATAAGATAATTGTTAGTGGCTAATGCTCATGATATCGGTTTTGGCCACCTATTTTGAATAATTAACAATCAAATTTGAACATAGCAACAATTAAATTTGAACATAACAACATTCGATTTTGGACACTATAGCGATCAAATTTGGACATTAATAACAAACAAATTGGACATGATTAAATCATGATATCTTATTATTATATAGTAATCAAAATTATTTAATTTTGGTATTACCGGCATTAACCTTATAAAAGACTACTTGCAAATTATGTGAGTTGATAAAACTAATTAAGTTATACCATAATGAGTAATATACAGTCATACCTGGGTTATATCACCCCTTTTTTCCAAAACATTTTTGGAGATATAACTAAGACAGGGATATAACTCAATATGTAAACCATATAAAAACATATAAAAAAAAGGAAATTTATTCTGCTTAAATATGGGGATATAACTCAGGTTGGGATATAACCCAGTGAAGATATAACTCAGGTATGACTGTAGTATATTTATCTGGTAGGTACTATGTATATACTGACAAAAAAAATTCTATATTATTGCCACAGTTTATTATTAAAATCATGTGATATGTAAAACTTTTATTTTTAAAATTCCCAATTAAAATTCATTTTAAAATTATGCCCAGAAATTACATAGAAAATATTACATATTGCAAATTCAATTAAAAATAATAGTAGAAATGATAGTGTATTTCCTTCTTGTTATCAAATTTGGATAATTCATGAAGTTATGAAAGATAAATATAAAATATGGTACTGCTTGATTAGTAATAGATTTTAAAGGTAGTTGTTGGGCTGATAACCTTAAAATACAGGATTTAAATATTGGTTTCTTGCTAAAATTAGATCTTGTTGAAGTAGTTGAATCTATGAATAATAGTGTAATTAAAATATATTACAAGTAATAAATTAGTAATTAGAATAATACATACCCGAATGCTCATTAGCCCATTATTAAGTGTAAATATTTCTGTTGCCGTCATTAAATTTGAATCCAAAAAAAAAAAAAACAACGAATACCATAATATTTCATAATTCAGTAATTAGATATGGATAGGCCACACAAAGTTGATTTTTCACTTCGCATTACACGGATTTCAAAATTTCCGGTCGGTTGGTCAGATTTTGTTTTAATCTACAGTAAATTAATAGACTCATGTTCATGTTTAAGGCCGCAAAAGTTGAGTTTTCGCTTTGTATAACATGGAATCAAAAATTGGGTTGGAAGTCGAATCTTTTTCTATTAGTTCTATCAGAAAAGATCTCTATCAATGATACCGAAGTAATTTATGAAAAAAACTAAATAGCAAAAATAAAAAAAATGGGCCGGTGGGTAATGCAAAACGAAAAATCAACTTGCGTGGCCTAATAAATACCATTATAAATTTCAGGATAATCTTTGTAACGCTTTCTGAATTTGTAAGAGTCCCATATGTTGCACGGCTTAATAGCTAAATTTTCTTTCAAATAACATGTGAGAGAAGCATGGATATTTATTCCTTCATGTCTATTCGTTTTAACCATGAGTATGTTTCTATATCCGTCAACTGCTCGTAACCATTTTGCCATACATTTATCCGTGTTTTGTACTCGCAAGAGTTTAAAGGGCTCTAAAATGCTTTCGTTTGTTGGTAATTTATTTACGTGACATTGAAGTATTAAAGAAAGAGTTTGATCAAAACACAATCACTCCTTTATCATTATATACCCATCATTCGAATTAGCAATAATATGGTTCCGTCAGTGTATATGTCATACCTGCCGGATAAACTAGTTATCTGGCATATGTGACGGAGTATTCGACAGGATAAAAGCATCAGCGTAACCAATAATCGAGGGCGCCACAAAATTTTTTCCACCCCTTGTAATAACGACCAATCGAATTTCAGGATCAGGCGTAACGTGATAGTCATGTTTTGTTTTCTAAATAAAAAGTTACGTGCAAAATTAAAGTTAAGAAAACCGCGTTAAAGTTAGGGTTAGGGCTAGGATAATATGATGTCTACAAGTAAAATTTTACAAGGAACATTTTTCATTAGACCACAGAAGGCGGTTTTCTAATTAAAATTTAGAGCTATTCTTGTTTTTTTGCTTCGTCTCGATTTACACCTGATCCTGAAATTCAATCGGTCGTTATTACAAGGGGTGGAAAAAATTTTGTAGGACAGCTAGGGGCTTTGATACTAATTGTGGGGCTGATGCTGAAATCGGCTGATGCTGAAAATTGGGGCCTCTTTTTAAATCTATAAAACCTACTAAAATTCACATATATTTTTTTATTAATAAATAACTTTGAAAAAAAAGACCACAAAAAAGGCCCTAAAAATTTTACAATTTAATAATAAACTATGAAAAATTTTCAGCATCAGCCCCCACACTCTAAAAAAATTGATCACCTCCTAAAATTTTGACCAATCAAATCTCAGGATCAGATATAATGTAAAAATCGAAACAAAACACATTTTTTTACAAAAAAAACAAGAACAGCTCTAAATTTAAATTAGGTAACCACCTTCTGTGGTCTAATTAAAAATGTTCCTCGTGATGTTTTACTAGTAGATGTTATATGGTTCTAATTCTAACCCTAATTATAATACATATTTTTTGGTTTTCATTTTACATATAACTTTTTTACTTAGAAAACTTAGAAAACAAAACACGTTTGTTTTGACACCTGATCTTAAATTTTGATTGGTCAAAATTACTGGGGATGAACAAGTTTTTATGGGAATGCTACCTAAAATTATATAATATCGCCTAAAAAATATTTAAGTCATATAATAATTGAAAAATCCTTTTGGGTTAGGGCTAGGGCTATTTTAAAGTTAAATAAAGGAGTTCTAATGGTAAAATCGCACAAGGAAAACTTTTTGTTAATTCAAGATAAATACTGAATAAGGAGATGTTCTATAGAATAGGTGGGCAAACTCCGCCAACTCCGCAACTCCAATAGTAAAAAATTAATGATTACTAATCATTAGCGAAGCTTATTTCTTATATTGCCCACCTATTCTATAGAACATCCGAATAAGGCAAACCTTTCAACCTCAATTACTGAATCAATAATTTATACTGTATGAACTTATTTAATACCAGACGATTTTCAAATGTGATACAGTACAGGACAGCAAAAAACATCCAATTTATATATATAAAATATAAAAAATGCTTATAACTTACAAATAAATAACTTTTAAAAAATCTGTCTTACAGATTTATTGCT